GGCAGATGCGCCGCCCAGGCCACATGGCAGAGGGGGCCCATGCCCGCCCTCCTGCCTTCGTCGACAAGCAGTGCTTCCACGGCGGCTCTGACCTGACCGCGCGCGGCAAAGCGGCGGCGTTTCGATGCGCCTTCGGCGGATGATGGTTGCGGGCCTCTTCAAAAGCGCAGCCGGCAACGTGAATCTGCTGGGTGCACAGAACGCCGCCCCCGCCCCCGACATTGTTGTCGGAATCGGCATTCGCGCCCTGCGCTGCGCGCGCGCGGGCGGGGCAGTCCCGCCCGCGGCGCAATCGCGGCGCCTCCTGTCCCTCGGGCGACGGCCCACGCCACGCTGCGCTCTCACCGCTGTCGGCAGAGTGCAGTGGGGGAGCCCCGTCGCCTACTCGGCTCGTCGCGCGACAATCACGCGGGCGCGCTCGCGGGTCGCGCCTTGGGCGAACGAATAATTAGCATGCAAAGCGCCAGCGCTCTGGCGTCACCACCGCCAGGCATCGGCCCTCTCGGGCCTGTTCCACGAGCTCCCCGCGCCCTTGGAAGCCCCTCCTTTGCCAGGCTTGCCGTTCCTTTTGTTGCCGGCTTTGCCAGATGCGTCGCGGCGCGGGCTGCGCGAACGCCGAAGAACGGGGCTCCTCGGGACCCTTGGCCCGGGCCTCGTCGCCTCGCGCGTCGCGGCGCGTGCGCGCGTCCGCGGGGCGCTCGCGCGCGGGCGCGCCTGTCGCTGCCGCCCTTCTTGCCCCCGCCCTTGGCGATCGACGCCTGGCGGTCCGACTGCTCGACTCTCGCCTGGGGCGGGCAGCCCAATGCGCGTTGCCCGCGCGGCCCCGCCCGAATCGCTTCGCACCTTGGCGGCGCGCAGGATGTCCCACGACAACGCGGTGAACGCGGCCGTCGAGGCTTCATCGCCGTGCTCCAGATCTTTCGCCACCTTCTGGGGGAGCAGCAAATCGCGCGCATGTGATACCTGCACGCGGCGCGGCCTCGCCCGCGCAGCTTCGGGCAGCGGCCCAGCCGCTTCGCGCCTAGCCTTGACGCCCCCGCGCCGTTCACTCACGCGCGCGAGCTGATGCATGTTTCCTGGCAGAAAGACGGAATCAAACACCTTGGACAATATGCAGCGAAGCCCCCACTCCATCACGCGGGCCTCGCGCGACTGGGCCCGCGCGGGCGCTCGCGTCCCACCGAGAAAATCCATTCGGTCCAGGGATGCCCCCGCGCGGTTAGCCGCGGTGATGGCCGACGCGCGATCGCGCCACAAGCCTGGCCCCGCTGGTGCCGAATCCAGCCTCGGCGTCCGCGCCCACTGGGGCTTGCAGCGGTTGGAACGGAGACATCGGAGCGGGGATCGGCCGCGACGCGCGGCGCCAAGCCAAGGCGCCTGCAGGCTCTCGCCCTCGGCGCTCCCGATATACGAGCGGCCATTCTTCTAGGCCGTTCGACCCGCAGACGCGAACTTGCGCATCGACTCTTCCGTCGGCAACCCTTCGCGGGGGAAGTTTCCGAGCCAGACCTCGCGCACGCGGTCCTGCGGAAGCGCCCCCACCCTTCCTCGGCGGCCCCCGCGCGCGCGGAACACGCTGCTCCTCCATGGCGAACGCCAAGGGCTTCTCTTTCTTGTCTTCCAGCAAATCCTTGCTGGCCCTCACGTAATCTTCCATGGCTGCCGCGATACGTGCCGTTTCCTCCGCGGGCTTGGCGGGCGCCTCCGCCGGGGCCGATTGTCCGCCCTGGCGCCGCGTCGCGCGCCGACCCGCGCCCGCGCGCGCGGTCGGGGCGGGGGCCTGTGGCCCGAAGTTCGAGCACGCCTTCGACTGCGCCCGCAACGCCATATTGACGCGGCACGGCTTGATGGCGAAATCGCGCCACTCCGCGGGCCTGTCTTCCGCGAGCGGCTGCGCGCCCGGCTTGAGGGCCGCAATCAACATCGCCCCACGTGTCCCTCCGCCACTGAAACTGCGCGTGGAAGTGATGCGGGGTCTTGCAGCCGCTGGGCAGCCACGCGAAACAGCCAGCGTTCCTCGGCCGAGCTGGGCCACAGGCGAGACTGGATGCGGTGCACATGCGCCCTGGGGCCGAAGCGGCCTGTGTCGCGTTCTCCTCCTGGGACTGTTCTGGGAGCTCCGGCGGCGTGTCCTTGAGCTTCTCGACGACCAGTGTGTCGGTGGAGACGCCCGTCGCGGTGGAGGCCTCGTTGGGGGCCGCCAGCCAGGGCAGCATGACGGCGTCCGTCACACCACAGAACGCGTCGAACGCGTGCTTGCGGGCCTTGCACGCCTCCTCGCCCTGCGACGCCTTCGCGTTTGCCTCGCCCCACGCGTCCCTCCGCCAGTGAGACATCGCGTGGAGGTGGCGCGGGGCCTTGCAGCCGCTGGGCAGCCACACGAAGCAGCCCGTGTTCCTGGGGAGGGCCGGCGCCGCCTCGGGCAGCGAGTCGACCACGTCCGCGGCCCGCGCCTCCTCGGCCGCCGCGTCAGCCTCGGCAACTGCCTGCGGCACCGCCTCTGGCGCCTCTGGCGCCTCCCCCTGTCCCCCTTCATCCTCCACGAGGACCTCCCGAGGAGATGTCAGCAGCATGACGGTGTCCGTCACACCGCACCACGCGTCGAACGCTTGCTTGCGGGCCTTGCACGCCTTCTCGCTCTGCCCCGCCTGCGCGTTCGCCTCGCCCCACGCGTCCCTCCGCCACTGAAGCTTCGCGTGGAAGTGATGCGGGGTCTTGCAGCCGCTGGGCAGCCACGCGAAACAGCCAGCGCTCCTCGGCCGAGCTGGGCCACAGGCGAGACTGGATGCGGTGCACATGCGCCCTGGGGCCGAAGCGGCCTGTGTCGCGTTCTCCTCCTTCGGGGATGGACAAACTCCCCTTTAGTAAAACGTGGTTTAGTGAAAACGACCTGAGGCCCAAACCTGGCGGGCGCAAGCCTGGAAAATAACGGCCACGGCGCCCTCTCGAGAACCGAGAACGGACAATTCACTAATCGACGTGTCACTGTTGGGGGTTCTGTCCACCCCCGACTCCTGCGCCTGTCCTGGGAGCTCCGGCGGCGTGTCCTCGAGCGTCTCGACGAACGGTGTGTCGGCGGAGACGCCCGTCGCGGTGGAGGCCTCGGCTGCGGCGGCGCTCTGCAGCTGGACGGCTCCGGCGGGCGCCCCCAGGAGCAGGGCGGCAAGGAAGCAGGCGCGTGCCCGCGGCATCGCGTGGCAAGGCGGTACAACAGAAGGTGCGGAAGTTAGACGGACAAAAGCCTTGAGCCAAAACGGCTACAGAGAGCAACCAGCAACAAGCCAAGAGGGCCCTAAGAAGGCCCAAAGGAGCCCCAAAAGGACTCCCAAGAGAGCCCATCCAGGGCATAATCACTGATGCTCGTACTGTAACATTGGTTGGATTGTTCTTGCTTGCGCGGCGCACCACAAATCTTAACACCAAGAGAGGCTCCCAGAAGAGCCCCAAGTGGCCTCAAGTGGCTCCCGGGAGGGCCCTGGGAGGGCCCAAGAGGCCCCAAAGAAAGCCCCAAGACGGCCAAAGCCCTCCAAGACGCCCCAAGACGCACTGGACAGACGACCAGCAGGAACCGGCGTCCTCGGCGGTGTCGGCTGAGCTCATCGGCTCCAGGCGATTTTCAGGCCCCTGGATGCGTGCCAGCAGCTGCGCCCCGCCAGGAGCGTTCCGAAGGGGCGCCCCGAGGGATGCCCCGAAAGCCTCCAGAGGACGGACGACAGAGAATGAGCAAGCCGCAACAACCAGCAGCACGAATGGTAAAGCTTCGGGCTGCGCGGAGACAGCCCCCCCAGGCAGTCCCGGCTGGCCTCAGCAGGCCCCCCGGCAGCCCCGGGCGGTCTCAGAGGGCCCCCCGAATAGTCTGGGGCAGTCTCAACACCCCAGCCCTGCCAGCCGGGCGAGCGGATCAGGACCACAGGGTCGAAGGTCACACGTCTGCGGACACGGCGGCCATCACCCGACGAATCCGAGCTACAGGACCGACGACCCGTCGCACGAGAAAGGTCCGAAACGTCGACGTCGACGAACGAAGGGGAGGCAGCAGCAGGGGTGCCAATGTCCCCTCCTGGAGTCCCGCCCTCCTGATGCGGGCTACGCCCCTCGGCGGGAGGATCCACGATCAGTTCGCCTCCAGCCCGAGAGCTGGTGAGGAGCTGGCCGTGCCCACTCGCCCCCGAGGCTGCGGTCAATACTCCCAGCATGCGAGGGCGGCGAGTCCATGGGTTCGGACGAGGAGGAGGAGGAGGAGGAGGAGCAGATGGAGGAGGAGGAGGAGGAGGAGAAGGAGGAGAGAGAGGAGGAGGAGGAGGAGGAGGAGGAGGAGGAGGAGGAGGAGGAGGAGGAGGAGGAGGAGGAGGAGGAAGGTGGACAAAGGACGAGCAACCAGCAACAAGACGCCCTGATGTACTGAGGCAGGAATTCTGCAATCCAAACAATTGCAGACACACCGTGAGCCTGGCCGCTTGCCAACACACTGCATGCCAGATGCAAGCCTCGTGCACATGAATTCCGCCAGGATTCTGATATGGCTCACAGACCGATACGTATGAATCACGTCGCTCGCGGCGCTCATCTGGGAGGCCTCTAGCCTATGCTCCTAGTCGAAGATGCGCACCTTCAGCGCACGGCCTGCCTCAGAGTCCGACCGCGGAGGCGCCGCGGACGCGCCGCTGGCCCGCGGCCCCGCGGTGGCGGGGGGGCCGCCCGAGCCACTGGCCGCCCCATCGTGGGGGGCCGCCAGCAAGGGCAGCATGACGGCGTCCGTCACACCACAGAACGCGTCGAACGCGTGCTTGCGGGCCTTGCACGCCTCCTCGCCCTGCGACGCCTTCGCGTTCGCCTCGCCCCACGCGTCCCTCCGCCAGTGAGACATCGCGTGGAGGTGGCGCGGGGCCTTGCAGCCACTGGGCAGCCACACGAAGCATCCCGTGCTCCTGGGGAGGGCCGGCGCCGCCTCGGGCAGCGAGTCGACCACGTCCGCGGCCCGCGCCTCCTCGGCCGCCGCGTCAGCCTCGGCAACTGCCTGCGGCACCGCCTCTGGCGCCTCTGGCGCCTCCCCCATGTCCCCCTTCATCCTCCACGAGGACCTCCCGAGGAGATGTCAGCAGCATGACGGTGTCCGTCACACCGCACCACGCGTCGAACGCTTGCTTACGAACCTTGCACGCCTTCTCGCTCTGCCCCGCCTGCGCGTTCGCCTCGCCCCACGTGTCCCTCCGCCAATTAAACTTCGCGTGGAAGTGATGCGGGGTCTTGCAGCCGCTGGGCAGCCACACGAAACAGCCAGCGCTCCTCGGTCGAGCTGGGCCACAGGCGAGACTGGATGCGGTGCACATGCGCCCTGGGGCCGAAGCGGCCTGTGTCGCGTTCTCCTCCTGGGCCTGTCCTGGGAGCTCCGGCGGCGTGTCCTTGAGCTTCTCGACGACCGGTGTGTCGGTGGAGACGCCCGTCGCGGTGGAGGCCTCGTGGGGGGCCGCCAGCAAGGGCAGCATGACGGCGTCCGTCACACCACAGAACGCGTCGAACGCGTGCTTGCGGGCCTTGCACGCCTCCTCGCCCTGCGACGCCTTCGCGTTCGCCTCGCCCCACGCGTCCCTCCGCCAGTGAGACATCGCGTGGAGGTGGCGCGGGGCCTTGCAGCCACTGGGCAGCCACACGAAGCAGCCCGTGCTCCTGGGGAGGGCCGGCGCCGCCTCGGGCAGCGAGTCGACCACGTCCGCGGCCCGCGCCTCCTCGGCCGCCGCGTCAGCCTCGGCAACTGCCTGCGGCACCGCCTCTGGCGCCTCTGGCGCCTCCCCCTGTCCCCCTTCATCCTCCACGAGGACCTCCCGAGGAGATGTCAGCAGCATGACGGTGTCCGTCACACCGCACCACGCGTCGAACGCTTGCTTGCGGGCCTTGCACGCCTTCTCGCTCTGCCCCGCCTGCGCGTTCGCCTCGCCCCACGCGTCCCTCCGCCACTGAAGCTTCGCGTGGAAGTGATGCGGGGTCTTGCAGCCGCTGGGCAGCCACGCGAAACAGCCAGCGCTCCTCGGCCGAGCTGGGCCACAGGCGAGACTGGATGCGGTGCACATGCGCCCTGGGGCCGAAGCGGCCTGTGTCGCGTTCTCCTCCTTCGGGGATGGACAAACCCCCCTTTAGTAAAACGTGGTTTAGTGAAAACGACCTGAGGCCCAAACCTGGCGGGCGCAAGCCTGGAAAATAACGGCCACGGCGCCCTCTCGAGAACCGAGAACGGACAATTCACTAATCGACGTGTCACTGTTGGGGGTTCTGTCCACCCCCGACTCCTGCGCCTGTCCTGGGAGCTCCGGCGGCGTGTCCTCGAGCGTCTCGACGAACGGTGTGTCGGCGGAGACGCCCGTCGCGGTGGAGGCCTCGGCTGCGGCGGCGCTCTGCAGCTGGACGGCTCCGGCGGGCGCCCCCAGGAGCAGGGCGGCAAGGAAGCAGGCGCGTGCCCGCGGCATCGCGTGGCAAGGCGGTACAACAGAAGGTGCGGAAGTTAGACGGACAAAAGCCTTGAGCCAAAACGGCTACGGAGAGCAACCAGCAACAAGCCAAGAGGGCCCTAAGAAGGCCCAAAGGAGCCCCAAAAGGACTCCCAAGAGAGCCCATCCAGGGCATAATCACTGATGCTCGTACTGTAACATTGGTTGGATTGTTCTTGCTTGCGCGGCGCACCACAAATCTTAACACCAAGAGAGGCTCCCAGAAGAGCCCCAAGTGGCCTCAAGTGGCTCCCGGGAGGGCCCTGGGAGGGCCCAAGAGGCCCCAAAGAAAGCCCCAAGACGGCCAAAGCCCTCCAAGACGCCCCAAGACGCACTGGACAGACGACCAGCAGGAACCGGCGTCCTCGGCGGTGTCGGCTGAGCTCATCGGCTCCAGGCGATTTTCAGGCCCCTGGATGCGTGCCAGCAGCTGCGCCCCGCCAGGAGCGTTCCGAAGGGGCGCCCCGAGGGATGCCCCGAAAGCCTCCAGAGGACGGACGACAGAGAATGAGCAAGCCGCAACAACCAGCAGCACGAATGGTAAAGCTTCGGGCTGCGCGGAGACAGCCCCCCCAGGCAGTCCCGGCTGGCCTCAGCAGGCCCCCCGGCAGCCCCGGGCGGTCTCAGAGGGCCCCCCGAATAGTCTGGGGCAGTCTCAACACCCCAGCCCTGCCAGCCGGGCGAGCGGATCAGGACCACAGGGTCGAAGGTCACACGTCTGCGGACACGGCGGCCATCACCCGACGAATCCGAGCTACAGGACCGACGACCCGTCGCACGAGAAAGGTCCGAAACGTCGACGTCGACGAACGAAGGGGAGGCAGCAGCAGGGGTGCCAATGTCCCCTCCTGGAGTCCCGCCCTCCTGATGCGGGCTACGCCCCTCGGCGGGAGGATCCACGATCAGTTCGCCTCCAGCCCGAGAGCTGGTGAGGAGCTGGCCGTGCCCACTCGCCCCCGAGGCTGCGGTCAATACTCCCAGCATGCGAGGGCGGCGAGTCCATGGGTTCGGACGAGGAGGAGGAGGAGGAGGAGGAGCAGATGGAGGAGGAGGAGGAGGAGAAGGAGGAGAGAGAGGAGGAGGAGGAGGAGGAGGAGGAGGAGGAGGAGGAGGAGGAAGGACGAGGAGGAGGAGGAGGAGGAGGAGGAGGAGGAGGAGGAGGAGGAGGAGGAGGAGGAGGAAGGGGTGGACAAAGGACGAGCAACCAGCAACAAGACGCCCTGATGTACTGAGGCAGGAATTCTGCAATCCAAATAATTGCAGACACACCGTGAGCCTGGCCGCTTGCCAATACACTGCATGCCAGATGCAAGCCTCGTGCATATGAATTCCGCCAGGACTCTGATATGGCTCTCCGAACCGATACGTATGAATCACGTCGCTCGCGGCGCTCATCTGGGAGGCCTCTAGCCTATGCTCCTAGTCGAAGATGCGCACCTTCAGCGCACGGCCTGCCTCAGAGTCCGACCGCGGAGGCGCCGCGGACGCGCCGCTGGCCCGCGGCCCCGCGGTGGCGGGGGGGCCGCCCGAGCCACTGGCCGCCCCATCGTGGGGGGCCGCCAGCAAGGGCAGCATGACGGCGTCCGTCACACCACAGAACGCGTCGAACGCGTGCTTGCGGGCCTTGCACGCCTCCTCGCCCTGCGACGCCTTCGCGTTCGCCTCGCCCCACGCGTCCCTCCGCCAGTGAGACATCGCGTGGAGGTGGCGCGGGGCCTTGCAGCCACTGGGCAGCCACACGAAGCATCCCGTGCTCCTGGGGAGGGCCGGCGCCGCCTCGGGCAGCGAGTCGACCACGTCCGCGGCCCGCGCCTCCTCGGCCGCCGCGTCAGCCTCGGCAACTGCCTGCGGCACCGCCTCTGGCGCCTCTGGCGCCTCCCCCTGTCCCCCTTCATCCTCCACGAGGACCTCCCGAGGAGATGTCAGCAGCATGACGGTGTCCGTCACACCGCACCACGCGTCGAACGCTTGCTTACGAACCTTGCACGCCTTCTCGCTCTGCCCCGCCTGCGCGTTCGCCTCGCCCCACGTGTCCCTCCGCCACTGAAACTTCGCGTGGAAGTGATGCGGGGTCTTGCAGCCGCTGGGCAGCCACGCGAAACAGCCAGCGCTCCTCGGCCGAGCTGGGCCACAGGCGAGACTGGATGCGGTGCACATGCGCCCTGGGGCCGAAGCGGCCTGTGTCGCGTTCTCCTCCTGGGCCTGTCCTGGGAGCTCCGGCGGCGTGTCCTTGAGCTTCTCGACGACCGGTGTGTCGGTGGAGACGCCCGTCGCGGTGGAGGCCTCGTGGGGGGCCGCCAGCAAGGGCAGCATGACGGCGTCCGTCACACCACAGAACGCGTCGAACGCGTGCTTGCGGGCCTTGCACGCCTCCTCGCCCTGCGACGCCTTCGCGTTCGCCTCGCCCCACGCGTCCCTCCGCCAGTGAGACATCGCGTGGAGGTGGCGCGGGGCCTTGCAGCCACTGGGCAGCCACACGAAGCAGCCCGTGCTCCTGGGGAGGGCCGGCGCCGCCTCGGGCAGCGAGTCGACCACGTCCGCGGCCCGCGCCTCCTCGGCCGCCGCGTCAGCCTCGGCAACTGCCTGCGGCACCGCCTCTGGCGCCTCTGGCGCCTCCCCCTGTCCCCCTTCATCCTCCACGAGGACCTCCCGAGGAGATGTCAGCAGCATGACGGTGTCCGTCACACCGCACCACGCGTCGAACGCTTGCTTGCGGGCCTTGCACGCCTTCTCGCTCTGCCCCGCCTGCGCGTTCGCCTCGCCCCACGTGTCCCTCCGCCAATTAAACTTCGCGTGGAAGTGATGCGGGGTCTTGCAGCCGCTGGGCAGCCACACGAAACAGCCAGCGCTCCTCGGTCGAGCTGGGCCACAGGCGAGACTGGATGCGGTGCACATGCGCCCTGGGTCCGAGGCGGCCTGTGTCGCGTTCTCCTCCTGCGCCTGTCCTGGGAGCTCCGGCGGCGTGTCCTCCAGCGTCTCGACGAACGGTGTGTCGGCGGAGACGCCCGTCGCGGTGGAGGCCTCGGCTGCGGCGGCGCTCTGCAGCTGGACGGCTCCGGCGGGCCGCCCCAGGAGCAGGGCGGCAAGGAAGCAGGCGCGTGCCCGCGGCATCGCGTGGCAAGGCGGTACAACAGAAGGTGCGGAAGTTAGACGGACAAAAGCCTTGAGCCAAAACGGCCACGGAGAGCAACCAGCAACAAGCCAAGAGGGCCCTAAGAAGGCCCAAAGGAGCCCCAAAAGGACTCCCAAGAGAGCCCATCCAGGGCATAATCACTGATGCTCGTACTGTAACATTGGTTGGATTGTTCTTGCTTGCGCGGCGCACCACAAATCTTAACACCAAGAGAGGCTCCCAGAAGAGCCCCAAGTGGCCTCAAGTGGCTCCCGGGAGGGCCCTGGGAGGGCCCAAGAGGCCCCAAAGAAAGCCCCAAGACGGCCAAAGCCCTCCAAGACGCCCCAAGACGCACTGGACAGAGGGCGAGCAGGAACCGGCGTCCTCGGCGGTGTCGGCTGAGCTCATCGGCTCCAGGCGATTTACAGGCCGCGGGATGCGTGCCAGCAGCTGCGCCCCGCCAGGAGCGTTCCGAAGGGGCGCCCCGAGGGATGCCCCGAAAGCCTCCAGAGGACGGACGACAGAGAATGAGCAAGCCGCAACAACCAGCAGCACGAATGGTAAAGCTTCGGGCTGCGCGGAGACAGCCCCCCCAAGCAGTCCTGGCTGGCCTCAGCAGGCCCCCCGGCAGCCCCGGGCGGTCTCAGAGGGCCCACCGAATAGTCTGGGGCAATCTCAACACCCCAGCCCTGCCAGCCGGGACTTCTCGGGAGGGGCTGTCTGCACACAGCCCGAAGCCGTGAGCAGGCGGCAACCATCGGCGGAGCGAACCAGCCCTGACTCTGGAACCGCCGTACTCTGGCTGGTCATCCAATGAAGGAATGCGTCGGAAATGTACCCCGTAAGATGTACAAACATAAGGCAGACATTTCCGCCTCGACAGAATAACTATGGCGGAATATTCCGCTTTGCGTGTATGTGTGAGACCATCTACGATGTCGTGAAACATTCCGCAACTTGGTGGCATGTTCCGCACAGCTGTCTACTAAGTAGCGCGGACATCCACTAGAAAGCGTGGTAGAAACAGCGACAGACAATCAGCGCGGACATCGGCATCGAAGGAGCTTGGAAGGTGGCGCGGAAATGTCCATCGCGCCTGCGAACGTTACCCCCAAGCATGGCGGGGGAACGCAAAGGGGGTCGGGCCTTCTGAGAAGTCTCAGGAGATCTCCGGCCTCCTGAAATAGAGGGCACCAAATCCACCCCCATGATTCGCCGGCCCAACGGGCCAGAGGCGTGCTAAGATCTCCGGTAACAGGTTAACAGTATTTCTAGTTCGCGCGCGCGTGGCGGCCCCTGGGGACCCCTGGACGATAAGTACCCCAGCCGATGCCCAGCTGACTCCCCTAGGGCGCTCAAGGAGCGCGCCAAGAGGGCGCCGGGACGCGTGCTACACGGCCCAAGAGGCCCCGAGTCGCTGAAAGAACGCTCCAAGACTCCAAGACGCTCAAGATGGTCTCTAGATGGCCCCAGAAGCCGCGGAAAAGCCCGCCCGAGACGGCCCAAGACAGCCCCTAAGAGGGGTGACCCGATATGAAACCTCAATGTTTCCGCCCCGAGGGTCGTCTCCGAGACCGCCAGCAAGTCCCGAAGAAACCCCCAAGAGGCCCCAAGAGGCCCCCAAGAGAGCCAGAGAGATGCCCCCCAGGTCGCACAGGCGGCCCCCAAAGAGGCATCAGAGGCTTCCAAACTGCCTCCATGACTTTGACATGGCGTTGCGACATTTGCCGAAGAATCTCCGCTCCAGGAAGAGTCCACAGTGACGCGACGCCGCATGAGCCACGAACGCGCAACGAAACGCAAGCGATGGCACAATACGGGCCAGCGGAATGAGCGCAGCGATTCAAAAATCACCCCGACACGCGAAGTAGTTTAGGAAACGCACCCACAGCAGGAATCGAACAGGACAGGTCTGTTTCATAAACGCCCAAGGCCGTTCAGTAAACGCCAGTGATCGGGTCCGGGTGCTTTTTACTCCCTGCATGAAAGGTTCTCGAAGCCGTCTCCGAGGCTTCCAGGGGCTTCTCTTAGGTCGAGCATGTCCCCCTACAGGCGGACTTTGAACGATAAATAACAAATAGTCAACAACTATTCAACATGATCCAAACATACTTTAAACAAGGATCCCATAATTACCATGTATGAAACTACTTTTCAATATTCCCCCTGTAGAGGGACAGGCCCGACTTAAGGATCCTCACAAGGCCGCTGGGCCTCTGAGGAGCTCCCCTGGGGGGGGGGGCGGCAGCGCCGGAAGAGGAGCAGACGGCAGCAGACGAACTCTGAGTTCCCAGCGTCGATGCTGCTTCGCTCGGCAACAAAAAACGGGCGATTCTGCATCGTTTCGGGCCCGGGGCACCAGGGGCGTCTCTCAGGGCCAGAGGGCCTCTGAGGAGCCCCCCCCGAAGGGGGGCGGCGACGGCGCCAGAAGAGGAGCAGACGGCAGCAAGCGGCAGCAGACGAAGTCTGAGTTCCTGGCGTCGCTGCTGTCTCCCCCCGAAAGAAGGATCGGGGGCGGCCAAGCGGGGGGCCTTCAAGAGGAGGGGGAGCAGATCATGGCCAGCGGCATGTGCGCGGCCCAAGGGGGGGGGGGCAGGGACGTAATGAAGCAAGAAGAGGCGCCATGAAATCTGAGGAGATATCATGGCCCACTCCCCCCCCCCCTAGTCATGACTCCCCTCTTTTCCGTCCCCGAAAAAACGGGCGATTCTACATTATTTCGGGCCCGGGGACCCCCACGAGTCGATGCGGTTCAAAACATGCAGCTGGTGTCCAGTCCTCAGTGCCTCTGCTCGCGCCGTCGGATTTCGGGGAAACCAACCAAAGAGCAGACGGCAACAGGCGAGAACAACAAACATATAGACTGCAACATGCCAAGGCAACATAACACTACCAATGAGCAGCAACAGCGCGTAAACTTTTGAGACATAACAATAAGCAGCAACAGCGCGAACAAGACTAACGAACAACAACAACAACAACAACAACAACAACAACAACAATCACTTTACCCGAACGCTCAGTGTTCTCACCAGTGCCAGGGTTTTCATGCGACGCCAGCCAATACCCCCACTTTGTGGGGGGGCAGTGCAAGCTCTACCAAATATCCACACGACTCTTCGCCACCACCCACACCCAGCTTCCCGCCCTATGACGTTCGGACACTTCACTTCGTGGCCTGCGGACGACCGTGGCTACTACACTGGCGTGGAGTACACACCCACAGAAGTTGTTAAGCCTACGTTCGTACACCCACAGAAGTTGTTAAGCCTTGTTAACCCAC